GTGACAGTCCACATTATTTGATTTATACACCATAGATCTGTATACTATATAAATTCTATCATACTGCCGCTGTAATTTAATGAAAAATATATTGAATGCTGTTATTAATATGATATCTGCATTTTATTTTTTACTTTTTTCCACATATCAGTAATATTTACTGGCAAGGTCACACACAAACACAATCTAGAGAGACACAATAGAACATATAAAAAAATGTAAAAATTGATCATTTTGTTTTCAAATTAGTTTATATTACGCTGGGGTAAACTTTTTTTTTTCCCCCATTTTATTAAATGGTTTTATGCCTCTAGTATTATTATACAGGATTTATATAGCGCCAACAGTTTGCTCAGGGCTTTACAATATAACGGGAGACAATACAACACCAATACAGTTCAATACAAGAGGGTTAGGAGGGCCTGATCCTGGGAGCTTACAATCTAGTAAGTGATCTATTCCTTATATGCTTTGGGGTAGGACTTATGCAGAAAATATTTTTAGCTTTTTTTTTTTTAACAGCACTGTCAGAATTTTTCAGGTTCTGCTGCGTGCCATGTCTATTTATCCACAAGAAGGTCATGAAGGCACACATAGAAATGACCAAATGTAAATGTTTTCCATATCGTTAAAGAAACACTGGCATTTCCATTGGAAAGCCTGAGTCCTGCAATGATGGCGATTTGTGCTGCTTTCAGTTCACAACAGTGCAGACCAAGAAATACTACAACTACTAATTACACACTTCTTGTCACGTTGTGGTTATACTAATTTCTCCACTGTATCTATAGAAAAAGCCATGGTTGTCCCACGGGTAGGATATTAAACACATCTGCCTTTTTTAATCTTCATTACATGATGGATTGATGGGACTCGTAATTTACATAGGAAAAATAAAGATGTTTTTGCTTTCGTATTAGCTCAGTGTCAGAAGTGTCTAAAATGCAAGTTTGACAGTTTTTTTCTGTACTTGCTGAAATGTTCTTAACCCAAAAAAATTAAAACTAATTCAGCCACTATATCTAAGGAATGATAAGCTGTAAGGTATAACATTTTCAGAGTTGTTCAGAAGATACTTTAAGCAAGGCCCTAAAGGCACCCGAATTTGGCCTCCCTCCAGCTTGCAGAGCAGTAGAACGTTGCAGTTTCATGAAGCCCCACCAACATTGTAGATTTGTTTTCTGGTTGAAAGGGCAATTTAAAGTTTGTATCATGAACTGCAAAGGTAAGAATACCTCCTCGACTATGCATAACATTGTATTACCATTGTATGTTACAGTCTGCCTTTCTGTGCATGGTTTTACAATTGTGTTTAAAGTAGAACTATGGCCTCCCATTGAAAAAAATTGTTATACAGCACTTATTTATAAGTTCACCTGCGCATACTATTTTCTCTTAGTCCTCCTGCAAAGTCTCACATATACCTGTTGATCCTGCCAGTGAAGTCTACCTATTGCAGCTAACTACACAAAAAATGGCAACCGTCCCAACCTATAATCAGCCTTAGTAAGATGCACATGGAAGGGCAATGCAGATCGCAAACTAACAAAGGATTTCCCAGCCCCACTTACCAGCCAGCCTGCAAAACAACCAATTTGGCCCTGTCTAACAGTTTGCGGTAAAAACAGAGGGTTTTGTTTGCACACATTTTCAAATACATGTGTAAGCCACAGTCCCACATCAAGGGTCTTCTGTATATAAGGGCAAGTGTGCCTGAAGGAGCCCATCCCTCCTTAACGGCTTCCCGTCCACCCCCCCTATAGTAGAAGTACTGCTACAGGGCGGCACAGGTGCGCAAAATCACATATATGTATATATATATATACGTGATTTAGCATTTATGGGTGGGGAGGCAGGTGCGAGGTGCGTACGCACCCTACCCACACTGCCTTTCGCGACCGCGGCTGTCAATCGCTGGGTCCCGTCCGTTGATTACCCGCTGGCACCCGGTAATTGCCGAGCATCTGTTTGTAAACAAAACCGTTCTCTCCCCTGTCAGCTCCTGCACACTGCTTTGCATGGCTGTGCACAGCACAGCCATGCAAAGTAGTGTGCTTACAGTGAAGCACACAGACTGAGCCCCTATTAAAATGGCACACAACACTCAGTTAACCCTTTGATTGCCCCACATGTTAACCTCTTCCTGCCCAGTTCCATTAGTACAGTGTCAGAGCTTTTTATTAGTACTGATCACTGTATTGGTGTCACTGGGGATGTCAGTGACACCAAGTCAGTTCCCCCCAGTGTCAGAATGCCACACCGCAGTCCCGCTATAAGTATCTGATCACCACCATTACTAGTAAAAAAAAAAAAAAATTCCAGTATATATACACCGCCATTTGTAAATGCTATGACTTTCATGTAAACCAATTAATTTACACGTATTGGGATTTTTTTTTAGTAAAGACATGTAGCAGAATACATTTTAGCCTAAATTTTTGACGAAATTTGATTTTTAAATTTTTTTTACTGGACATGTTTAATAGCAAAAAGTCAAAAATATTGTTTTTTTTTCTCAAAATTGTTGGTCTTTTTTTTTTTTTATAGCGCAAAATATAAAAACCGCACAGGACATAAATTTCAATTGGGTGCAGCATTGCATGACCGCACAATTGTCAGTTAAAGTAAAGCAGCACTGTAATGCAAAAAATGGCCTGGTCATGAAGGGGGGTAAATCCTCTAGAGGGCAAGTGGTTACAGGTACAGGGATGCGTATCGTGCCCAGCTATACCAAAATAACAGCAAAGGCATCCAGTGCGTCCCTGCATGCAAATTAGCGAACTACAAAAAAAATGGCAACCATCCCAACCTATAACCAGTCTTAGCAGTAAGATGCACATGGAGGGGCAAAGCACAGCACAAACAAACAAACAAAGGATTTCCCAGCAACACTTACCAGCCAGCCTGCAAAACAACCAATTTGGCCCTGTCTAACAGTTTGTATTAAAAACAGAGGGTTTTGTTTGCACACATTTGCAAATATATGCATAAGACACAGTCCCACGTCAAGGGCTCTGTATATTGTGAACCTAACTAAAATTTGCAAAGCATCCATAGTAGCAGCACATGTATAAATGGATAGGTTAAGGGCAGGTTTTGTTTGCACACATTTGCAAATACATGCATAAGCCACAGTCCCACACTAAGTGTCTCTGTATATTGTGGACCTAACTAAAATTTGCAAAGCATCCATAGTAGGAGCCAGGGGCGGACTGACAACTCATGGGGCCCCAGGCAATAGGGGATCATGGGGCCCCTGTGTCCTTGCCCAAACTCAAAAAAGCCTATGAAAAAGGTACCGGGGGCATCTCATGGGGCCCCCTACTGATCCCGGGCCCTCGGGCAGTGCCCGAGTTTCCAAATGGTCAGTCCGCCCCTGGTAGGAGCACATGTATAAATGGATAGGTTAAGGGCAGGTGTGCCTGGAGGAGCCCATGCCTGGTATAGCTGGGCGTCATGTTAGTCCCTGTACCTTTTAAGGAGGGATGGGCTCCTCCAGGCATACATATTGCAGCTCCCTGGGATTGTGCGGCAACAATGCTGCCCTGCTCCTGAATTCAGTGCAGAGTTGCCACTCTCATGTAGGTTGTGTCTGCTTGCACCACACTGGGATAAAAAATGGGGCATGACTATCAGCATTGCCACTGCTGATTCACAAGTCCGCAGCTTGTCAATCAGCCCCTGGCTGCAGCTAGTCATGCCCACTAGATTGACAGCACTGACTTTGTTGACTTGGTTGTTGAAACCCTCCCACTATCAGCTGTGGTGCCTGGGAAGGTCGTGGATGATTCCATGCCGGGCTCTGCATGTATAAGTGATTGGGTCAGACAGCTGACAGTTGGGAGAAAAATGCAAGCAAACGTGGCTGTTATAGCAGCTGCCATAATAGTGATGTTAGCAGCAGCAAAAGAGTTAAAGACAATACAGTGGATTCAGTACTGACTAATATGCAGATTAGAAGTTAACATTTAAATCTGACTTCATTTGCTGCATACTTGTTCCATGTCAGTGACTCAGAATGTATTGAAGCTGAAGGAAGACAGGAATGAGACCAGCATCTCCAAATTCAATGCTAAATTTAAAACAAATAAAGCACCAGTGCTAACTAATGTCTTTCAAATGCGAGTTTCATGTTTCATTACATCTCAGCACTGCTGATCTCTTGCAGCCTCTTTGCAGCCACTTTCTGTCTAAATGGTTGCACACCAGCAATGGTTGTATGGTGCATTGCAGAGTGGGTTTCCTGATGATAACATCACAGTGTTAAAAAAAAAAAGCCACATGTATTCTCCATCAAAAGCCTATGTAACCTTAACAACGCAAAGGCATAATTGAAAGACGGGGACAAAGCGTTGTCACCACACACCAGGAAGTGCCTGAACAAGGAACTTTATTATAGGATCAGCAGGTATATTAATGAAAGCTGAAGAGTTCAAATATATGAACTGGCTTTTGAAAGCATACTAACATGTTAACACTTCTATGAGATTCTAGTTATTGGGATTACATATGCTTCAACTCATCATGAATGCAAACTATAGGTCAACGCACCCTTAATGAAGTGCTATGTATTGTAATCGCCAAGTTCTGTTGATAGCAGTGGATCTTCTCGTGTCTATGAGTTTTATTCCCTGTAGAAAAAGGTTGCAAAATGCATGATGACATACAGTATCTGTGAGCCACCCTAAACATGCATTACCCTTACCTTAGTGCAGGTTCATTAATGTTCTACTTTCTGTTTACATTGTATTGCCTTTTACTTTACTTTGATCTTCTGAACTTTACATTGTTTCACAATGATCTGTCTGACCATTTGAGTCTGGAAGCTCAGCAACCCACATTACAGAATAACCTCACTGTGGAGTGCTGAATTTTTTTTTCAAGCAATGAGAATAGTGAAATAAACTTGCTATGCATGACGTTCTACACGCTTCTACAATCTTCTGAAACATATCTTCCTACCACAGCTCTGCAGAAGGTTTCATCCACAAGCTGATAGCTTTCTTCTCTTCCTTGTGAAAATGGAGACCTGCGATAATGAATCGTCCTCTCAGCAACTTATGGAGACCTCCACTGAAATGCTTACTTACTGCAAGAGCAAGGAAGATGAACTGCTAAAGATGGAGATGAGCCCATTGCAAGATGCCAGTGGCCAAAAAGAAAGTACGGTGTTGGCCATACCATCTGACCAACGTCCTGTGCAAGATCACTTAATCTGGTCTATATTTAACACCATCTACATGAACTTCTGCTGTCTGGGATTCCTTGCACTCATTTTCTCAGTCAAGGTGAGAGTTTGACATCTGCATCTTAAAGTGTATCTTTATTTTTGAATGGTGGTATAAAAACCCAACTCCAGGGAAAAAAAAAATTCTGCACCGGTTAGGGACAGGGGAGAAACTCTAGAACAGTGGTTCTCAACCTTCCTAATGCCGCGACCCTTTAATACAGTTCCTCATGTTGTGGTGACCCCCCAACCATAAAATTATTTTCGTTGCTACTTCATAACTGTAATTTTGCAGTGGGGGAGTAGTGCCACGTCATTGGTGTCAGTGGGAGGAATAGTATCCCATCACTGATGTCAATGGGAGGAATAGTGTCCCATCATTGGTATCAGTGGTAGGAATAGTGCCCATCATTGGTGTCAGTGGTAGGAATAGTGCCCCATCATAGGTGTCAGTGGGGGGAATAGTGCCCCGTCATAGGTGTCAGTGGGGGGAATAGTGCCCCGTCATTGATGTCAGTGGGAGGATTAGTGCCCCGTCATTGGTGTCAGTGGGAGGAGTAGTGCCCCGTCATTGGTGTCAGTGGGAGGAGTAGTGCCCCGTCATTGGTGTCAGTGGGAGGAGTAGTGCCACGTCATTGGTGTCAGTGGGAGGAATAGTGCCCCGTCATTGGTGTCAGTGGGGGGAATAGTGCCCCGTCATAGGTGTAAGTGGGGGGAATAGTGCCCCGTCATAGGTGTCAGTGGGGGGAATAGTGCCCCATCATAGGTGTCAGTGGGGGGGGGAATAGTGCCCCATCATTGGTGTCAGTGGGAGGAATAGTGCCCCGTCATTGGTGTCAGTGGGAGGAGTAGTGCCCCGTCATTGGTGTCAGTGGGAGGAGTAGTGCCTTGTCATTGGTGTCAGTGGGAGTAGTGCCACGTCATTGGTGTCAGTGGGGAGGAATAGTGCCCCATCATTGGTGTCAGTGGGAGGAATAGTGCCCCATCATTGGTGTCAGTGGGAGGAATAGTGCCCCATCATTGGTGTCAGTGGGAGGAATAGTGCCCCATCATTGGTGTCAGTGGGAGGAAAAGTGCCCCAACATTGGTATCAGTGGGAGGAATAGCGCCCCCATCACTGGTGTCAGTGGGAGGAATAGCGGCCCCATCGTTGGTGTCAGTGGGAGGAATAGCGGCCCCATCGTTGGTGTCGTGGGGGGAATAGTGCCCCAACGTTGGTGTCAGGGGGAGGAATAGTGCCCCATCGTTGGTATCAGTGGGAGGAATAGCGCCCCCATCACTGGTGTCAGGGGGAGGAATAGTGCCCCATCGTTGGTATCAGGGGGAGGAATAGTGCCCCATCATTGGTATCAGTGGGAGAGGAATAGTGCCTCATCGTTGGTGTCAGTGGGGGAGGAATAGTGCCTCATCGTTGGTGTCAGTGGGGGAGGAATAGTGCCCCATCATTGGTGTCAGTGGGGGGGGAATAGTGCCCCATCGTTGGTGTCATTTCGGGGAGGAATAGTGCCCCATCGTTGGTGTCAGTGGGGGCAGGAATAGTGCCCCATCGTTGGTGTCATTTGGGGGAGGAATAGTGCCCCATCGTTTGTGTCAGTGGGGGGAGGAATCGTGGCCCATCGTTGGTGTCAGTGGGGGGAGGAATCGTGCCTCATCGTTGGTGTCAGTGGGGGGAGGAATAGTGTCCCATCGTTGGTGTCAGAGGGAGGAATAGTGCCCCATCATTGGTGTCAGTGGGAGGAATAGTGCCCCATCATTGGTGTCAGTGGGAGGAATAGTGCCCCATCATTGGTGTCAGTGGGAGGAAAAGTGCCCCAACATTGGTATCAGTGGGAGGAATAGCGCCCCCATCACTGGTGTCAGTGGGAGGAATAGCGGCCCCATCGTTGGTGTCAGTGGGAGGAATAGCGGCCCCATCGTTGGTGTCGTGGGGGGAATAGTGCCCCAACGTTGGTGTCAGGGGGAGGAATAGTGCCCCATCGTTGGTATCAGTGGGAGGAATAGCGCCCCCATCACTGGTGTCAGGGGGAGGAATAGTGCCCCATCGTTGGTATCAGGGGGAGGAATAGTGCCCCATCATTGGTATCAGTGGGAGAGGAATAGTGCCCCATCGTTGGTGTCAGTGGGGGAGGAATAGTGCCCCATCATTGGTGTCAGTGGGGGGAGGAATAGTGCCCCATCGTTGGTGTCAGTGGGGGGAGGAATAGTGCCCCATCGTTGGTGTCAGTGGGGGGAGGAATAGTGCCCCATCGTTGGTGTCAGTGGGGTGGAGGAATAGTGCCCCATCGTTGGTGTCAGTGGGTGGAGGAATAGTGCCCCATCGTTGGTGTCATTTGGGGGAGAAATAGTGCCCCATCGTTGGTGTCATTTGGGGGAGAAATAGTGCCCCATCGTTGGTGTCAGTGGGGGCAGGAATAGTGCCCCATCGTTGGTGTCATTTGGGGGAGGAATAGTGCCCCATCGTTTGTGTCAGTGGGGGGAGGAATCGTGGCCCATCGTTGGTGTCAGTGGGGGGAGGAATCGTGCCTCATCGTTGGTGTCAGTGGGGGGAGGAATAGTGTCCCATCGTTGGTGTCAGTGGGAGGAATAGTGCCCCATCATTGGTATTAGTGACACCAATGATTGGGCACTATTCCTCCCACTGACACCAATGATACTTACCTTGCTGACCCCTGCTCCAGCCTGGGCTCGCTCGCTCCCTCCCTCTCCCATGGTACAGACACTTACCGGTCAGCTTTCTTCCTTCTCCGGCCGCTCTCCTCCTCTTCACTCGCTCGATCTTCACGGTGCCGTTCGGCTCCTCCTCTCCAAGCTCCACCTCCTCGCCGGTGATTGGCCACCTGTGTGCCTCTCCTGAGCTACAGTTCCGGCGGCCAATCACCGGCGGGGATTGATCCCGAGGGTGTGTCCAGATGACAGGGGCGGCATGTCATCCCGCCCACACCTGGAGACGGATAGAGCAGCGGTGTCTCGGTTCCTAAGACCATCGGAAATATGTGTTTTCCGATGGTCTTAGGCGACCCCTGTGAAAGAGTCGTTCGACCTCCAAAGGGGTCGCGACCCCCAGGTTGAGAACCGCTGCTCTAGAAGGTCTTTATTGTTATTGACTAATTTGAAATGATTTACTCTCACTTCTGTTTAATACCTTGGACTGAAAGTGAGTGGAGTCCCCCAATGGGCTGACAACAATAAAAACTTGACAAAGGTTCTAACTCTTACCCATTCTGCTGGATTAAGTTTGTAATGCTGTCTGTGAGCATGATAGGAGATTTAAACTCACTTCCCATTATGACACCTATTCCATGCACAGGAAGTGAGGATAAATCTACCCAGTAAAGACAAAGATATCTATGAAAGCCTGGGAGAATTTCTAACATTTTCCCACTGTATCCAAAGTTTATCTTTAATATACAAGTCTGACCATCATCTAAAGTCTAAAGTAGACACCCAATGATGACTACAATTACATATACAGTATATGCCTGATAATATGCCTGATAAGCCCGTGTGTCCCTCTCTGATTTAGTCTTACATTGTTACTGCGGTCCAACTTCCTTGACTTCATGGCTAAGCTCCATTGACTGCCATGCCACTGTGCTGTAGAAGTTCTAATGCTAGCCACTATAGCAGTTTCATTGGACAATGGAATAAGAATTGGCCGGACTTAGCCATGAAGCCAAGGAAGTAAGGCACCTGTAACAAAACTAGGAAAGAGGTTAAATTGGGACTCTAAAGCAGAACTAATTTTCTTTGTGCGTAGATTAACTTTTGCCATAACATACATGAACATTGTGGCATACTTACTGGTCAATGTGCCTACTTCCAGTAGTGGAAGGTCATGGCTGCAATTGCTGCTCTGTCTGCCATCACCACTGCGTTGTCCCTGGCAGGCAGCTCTATATTTTATTTTGTGTCCTCGCAATTTTGTCAAGTGGAATTTAGGTTCTGCCTATACAGTTTTTGTAAGTTACATAAACAAAATGTACAGTGAAGGAAATAATTATTTGATCCCCTGCTGATTTTGAATGTTTGCCCACTCACAAAGGAATGATCAGTCTAAAAATCAAATGGTAGGTGTATTGTAACACAGAGACAGAATAGCAAAAAAAAAATTAATAAGAAATGCATGTCTAACAAATTATGCACTGATTTGCATGTTCATGAGGGAAATAAGTATTTCATCCCCTATCATTCAGCAGGATTTCTGGCTACCAGGTGTCTTTCATACAGGTAACAAGCTGAGATTAGAAGCAGTCTCTTAAAGGGAGTGCTGCTAATCTCATTTTGTTACCTGTATAAAAGACACCTGTCCAAAGGAGCAATCAATCAGATTCCAAACTCTCCACCATGGAAAAGACCAAAGAGCTCTCCAAGGATGTCAGGGACAAGATTGTAGACCTACACAAGGCTGGACTGGGCTACCAAACTATCACCAAGCAGCTTGGTGAGAAGGTGACAAAAGTGGTGCAATCATTCGCAAATGGAAGAAACACAAAATAACTGTCAGTCTCCCTAGGTCTGGTGCACCATGCAAGATCTCACCTCGTGGAGTGTCAATGATCATGAGAACAGTGAGCAATCATCCCAGAACTACATGTGAGGATCTTGTCAATGATCTCCAGGCAGCTGGGACCACAGTCACCAAGAAAACAATTGGTAACACACACTACGCCGACAAGGATTGAAATCCTGCAGTGCCTGCAAGGTCTCTCTGCTCAAAAAAGCACATGTCCAGGCCCATTTGAAGTTTGCCACTGAACATCTGAATGATGCAGAGGAGGACTGGTTGAAAGTGTTGTGGTCAGATGAGACCAAAATTGAGCTCTTTGGCATCAACTCAACTCGCCATGTTTGGAGGAGGAGGAATGCTGCCTATGAGCCCAAGAACACTATCCCAACTGTCAAACATGGTGGTGGAAGCATTCTGCTTTGGGGGTGTTTTTTCTGCTAAGGGGACAGGACAACTGCACCGCATTAAAGGGATGATGGATAGGGCAATGTACAGTCAAATCTTGGGTGAGAACCTTCTTCCCTCAGCCAGGGCATTGAAAATGGGTCATGGAT